TTTTCAATACCAACCATCCTAGACACAATGCAAATAGCTCTGCTAAATTTTGGAGCTCTACGTCAAATAATGTGGGCTGTATCGTGATTTCAACAGACAGACAGACAGACAGACGGACATCGTTAAATCGACTTAGAATTTTATGCTGATTATGAATATATATACTTTATGGGGTCTAAGACGAATATTTAAGGATGTTACAAACGGAATGACAAAGTTAATATACCCTCCTTTCCAAGGTGGAGGGTATAAAAATTCGAAAAACAGAAAAGCGTTTAAATTCATAATTATGTTTACAAATATTACCTACACTATATTTTCTTCACAATTTAAAGCTTTTTTTACCACTGTAAGTTTCCTTGAATACCACAGTGTTTAATCAAATAAAATTGTGAAACAATACCACCTGGAACTTGTAGGAAATAACGCCTTGTCAAATCGATATTTCCTCATTAAAATGTCCTTTCTCTCTAAATGACGTTTTTCTCGATATCGCACAGCATTTATGAATGAATCATTAAAAACACTTTTTCATTTCTTCTCATCGGTCAGAAGACAAGCCATAAGCATTTAGGGCAGCATACGGTAAAAAAGAGCTCATTATCTGGTCGTAAAGGCGTTGTGATAACACGAAAAATACGTGTAATTTGTCGACAGTGAAATTACAGGTTATGGCCCACCAGAAAGCAATATCGATGACCATTACCGTTTGGTTACTGCATAACGACAGAGTGATCTTCCCTTTAAGTTGCCCATTGCAAGATGCCCAAATGTACTCCTTGGCAGTGGATAACAATCTAAACGAAATTGAATTGCAACAAGTGCATTTCCACCTCCTTACATTCCGCCAAAATTATTATTTTATGTTGATTGTTATTGTTGTTTAATTAAATTTCGGCTGAACGTGATTTTTTATACTTTCCCTGTGTTGCTAGCAAGTTTTGAAGTTTTTGCCAAAAAAAAACGGAATTCGATTATCTTTAGCACGTACCAATTGTTATGACTTTCTGGGTAAAAGATTTGCAAATTGCAGGATATTAAATAAATTGTTGAATGAAGACATTGTAGTCCACACAAATAGCTGTTGATTTGCTTTATGGGTTTTAAGTTAATGGCCTCAATTTGAAACAATGTATTACGCAGTAGGACGTGAGGGAGTTGTTTTGAAACACATTTCAAAATTGGAAATATATGAAAACGATATTGTAGGGAGTAAACATACAGAGGCTGCCGTGTTGGCGATTCTTCTCAAAGGCCAAAAATTGTAATGGATATTTTGAAAGGTAAATGCAGAAGAGGTTATTTCACTTCACATTAGTGAAGATACATGTAAGGATTTTGTCTTTTGGTATGGGTCAGCTGCTGGTGAATTTTGCAGAAAAATAAAGTTTTTTTTTTTTTGTGACCCAGTTTAAATTATTAATTGTGTGGAGAAAATCTGTTGATTCGTGCTTAAAACAGTAAAGGATTTTAGCGAAGGCCCTTATATTTATACCCTACACCACAAAGTGGCCAGGGTATTACGACTTTGTGCATTTGTTTGTAATAGGCAATAGGAAAGAGATTGACTCAGAGTTCCTTTTTGATTATTTGCATAGGATCACATTCTTAGTCGATATATGCATGTCCGTCCGTCCGACCATGTATTTTTGTAAACAAAGTACAAGTCGCATTTATTGATCCAGATGAAATCCGAAGATAATCGGTCAAAACGTAGATATAGCTGCCACATATCTTCGTCCGATTTGCCTTTGTATTGTACACCAAACGTGTAACATTAGATTTTTGCACATACGACCAAATCAGGCCTGAGAATAAGTATGCCAAATTTGGTGGAAATTGATTATGATTTGTTATAGGTCCCATATATATTGTTCACCCGATTTGTTCAATTCGATCTCCACAGCCCTATTATGTACTCTTTAACAACTATATTTGGGGAAATATATCAAATACAGCATACAGAAATGCTTTTGCTAAATTTTATCGAAATCGGTTCAGATTTGGACATAGCTCCCATACAGGGTGAGATGAAAAAACTGCAACCAACTTCAGATTGGTACCATTTCTAAGCCACTCGTCCAACAGTTGTTAAAATTATTCCAGTAACAGCGCATTATATTATTTACAAACGTACAAAAGCATTTTGGTGAGAATTTTCCAGAAAAAAAGTTATTCGTGATGGAATTCAAGCGTGATAGTGTGATTTCTTTATATTTAGCTGGAAAACAACATGTGGCTATCGTTAGAGCACTCCAGCATTTAAATAAATCTTTTGTGTCTCATACCATCGCTCGTTACCGTAATACTGGTAGCGTAGCCCGACGTCAAGGAAGTAGACGAAGAAAACAGCAACATCAGCAGAAATGGTTCGAAAAGTAAAGAACCGATTTGAGCGAAATCCGCGTCGCAGTGGTCGAAAAATGGCTCGTGAGTTGAACATATTGAAATATTCCATTCGACAATTATTGAAAAATTATCTCGGGGTAAAGCCATTGAAATTCCAAAAAGTGCAAGAACTTACACCGACCGCAACAGAAAGAAAATAGACTCAAAAGTGCTAAAGAGTTGCTTCGCTTGGCCGAAAGTTGTGAACTGCCGAATTTGGTTTTCTCCGATGAGAAAACATTGTTGTCCAGCAGTTTGTAAGCAAACAAAATGATCGTGTTTACTTGCCAAGGAGGTCAGCTGAAAATGTGCACCTTCGGTTGGCCACCAGAAAAAAAAGAACTCAAGCGCTGGCCATGGTGATGGTGTGGGCCGCCATAACAGAAGATGGCCACTGTCCGCTCGTATTAATCGAACGTGGCATCAGAATAAATGCCGAATATTATCGCGAAAATATTGTGGAAGGTGTATTAAAGCCTTGGGCATGCAAACATTTTAGCCGCAGACCTTGGACATTCCAACAGGACTCAGCATGCGCTCCCCAAGAATGGTTACAAAATGAGGTTCCTCGCTGCATTTCCAGCACACAATGGCCACCAAAATCTCCGGATACCAATCCGTTGGACTATTGTGTCTGGAGTATTTTGAAAAGCAAGGTTGGCACTAAAATATACCAAAGAGTCGATCACCTCAAGCAAACGCTTCGCCGGGAATGGACCAAAATACCGCAGAGCAACATTCGGGCAGCATGTGACGGTTTCATTGGCCGTTAATTCGTGCCAAAGGTAACCAAAAAATGTAAAAATTATGTCGTTTGATTTTGATGGCGTTTTTTTATCTCACCCTGTACATAAAGTAATTTGAGTGCCCTAGTTTGAAAATAATAATTGAGTGGAGAAAAACATTTGTTGTATTCGTGCTTAAAATAGTAAAGGATTTTAGCGGACACCCTTATAGGGTAAGTGTACCAGTAGTCGGCACTTTTAGGATTTCCGCGTTTTTAATCGCTCACCATTCTGAGTGGAACATTTCAATTATTACTAAGTGAATTTATTCAGATTCGAAATTTTGTATAGTTTTTGCAATAATAAATAAAGTTTTAATAACTTTTTATTCAATTTCATAAATTTGTTGTTTTATTAAAACAATGTTTTTTGTCAGTAGTCGGCACAACTTGCCAATTGTCGGTATGGCATTTTCCAACAGTCGGCATATCAATTTTTTTGTAAGAATAATTAATAGTAATAATAAATTAATTCATTAAAATATAATATTTTTGTTTAGTTAAACTGATTCGACGTCTTTATTGTACTTTTCTTAATAATATGAATTGTCGAGGACCTTCACAGCCAAAAATTTAATTTTTATTAGAATAATTGATCTTTTCTTAGCGAAATTGTGCACAAAGATAGCTGACAATATATTTGAAGTAAACAAAATACATTTAGTTACAATAGTTTCATTTATTTGGGCTTAAAAATGAAAAGTGCCGACTACTGGGACATGCCGAACTTAGGCACACTTACCCTATTTATACTCTACACCACAAAGTGGTCAAGGTATTATTTCTTTGTGCATTTGTTTATAACAGCCAAATGGAAACGAGATAGACCCATAGTTCCTTTTGATGATCTGCATGAAATTTTGCACAAATCATTTGTTTGGCCCAAGGACGAAGATAATCAGTTACAATTTAGATATAGCTCCCATATAACTTCGTCCGATTTCCCTTTAATTGAGCACTAAACGTGTAATAATAGTCTAAATAGGATGGAATTTGAAACTTAAGAACAAATTGAATGTGGAAACGAGTATATCAAATTCGGTGAAAATCGGTTCAGATATAGCTATATTGTTCCATATATATTGTTCCTCCGATTATGTTATGTTACGACAAATAAATCCAAATAAATGATGTTAACTCCGCAAAGCATTAATTTGACCATGGTATAATACTTCTTAACCTGCTTTTGGATTATTTTTTCATGTTTTCAATTTGATACACCTTTGGTTTATAGTTTCGATTTTAATCCACCCAACTTGAAACTTGTCACGAAATGGCATGTCCCATAATCCGGTGCATGTGATCCAATTTTTGATATATCTAACGCCCTATTTCTAATCAAAAAATGATGTTTGCATGTTTGTTTATTTTTTTTCGTCAACGAGGCCAAGGTCTATACATTATCCCAATTAGTACTCGCTGAACAAGAGAATCACAGATTCATAATTTTCCGAATAGAAAAAAAAAACGTTGCACATCAACGTGATTTAGAACAAGGGGGGAGATGTTAGATGGCACTGCATCATTTCCATTTGCTGAACTTGACTCATAACACCCGGCAACAACTTTCATATTTGTCGAGTCAGATCAACAACAATAATAATCTGAACAACAACAACAGCAAATAAATTCAAAATATGCATGTTGGCCTCTGTTGGCCATAATTATTATATTTTTTTTTATAAACTTTAATTTGTAACAACAGACCGCCCCTTTCCGGTATATGAGACATCCATCGTGATGATCATCGCCATTAAAACAGTAGCAGCAGCAACAACAACCACAACATCATCATCATTAAAAACACTTTTTCGCAAATCAAACTCACCCGAATAATTAAGCGGAGTTTTCAGAACCAACAAAGCAATATCATGATGATATTGACCCTGTTTATAATCAGGATGTACAATGACATGACTAATGGCATGATTCACCGAACGTGGGGCACAAAATCCCGTACTGGCACAATCAGGATCGGAGGAGGTGTCATATTCACCCACACGTACCGAGGATCTAAAAAATAACAGAGATTTCGAGAATAATGGATATGGGATAACTGTGTGTTCGGGGATACTTACAAACGATGGCCATCAGCCTTGGCCAGGGCACAATGGGCAGCGGTCAAAATGACTCGACGAGCAATAACCGAACCGGCACATGGGTAAGCAAAGGCTCCAGTATTTATATCTAAAAATGGAAAAGTTGTATTAACGAAAAGGCGCAAAATGTTGTAAAGAAATCGCCATGTTCTTCTCATAGAGTCCAAATGTTCTCCTTACATTTAGAGGAGCAAACGGGTTTTTTACAAATGGAATGACATAAAGAGTCTGTATCATATGATAACATAAGTACGTTAAGAAGAACAAAAAATGTAAATGGAAGAATTATTATGTGATGAAAAACCCTTCATATATTACCATATAAGGTATTATAAATTTAATGCAAAAGAAAACTTAGAGCCATATTCTATTGCCTTTACCGTAATTAACTCACTATTCTTTATCTGCGAAACATCTCTATTATAGTCCAACTTCTTTTATTTTTAATTCATTGCTTTTGGTCTCTGAGAAACTTAAAAATTTATCTCACCACGACCAACCCACATTAATCCAAATACACAATTCCAATTTTCTAGCTTTAGTCCTTTCGGTCAGTCAATCATTATACCCTCAGTCATATGGCTACAGAGGGTATACATCATTTGATACCGCCAAAAGTGCCTCATCGAAATAACTGTTTTACACCCTAGGTCTCTTTGGACCAAATTCGTTTCAGGACATTTGGAGTCGATCTAGCGATGCCCGTCCGTCTGTCTGGCCGGCTAGTACGCACGATAACTATCGAAGGGAGTATCCCATTTGATCCAAACTTGGTACATCGTAATATTATTGTCAAACTTAGATCGAGTTCGGAGATGGGCAATATCGGCTCATTCCTTCTGGTACCTCCCACACAAAATATCAGTATTTTCAAAGAAAATTATTTTCTGCACAGAAATAGAAAGGATAATCCGATTTTGCTCCAACTTTGCAAATCCTAATAATTCCATCAGTATTAGGTCAAGTGCGAAAATGGACAATATCAGTCCACTCAATCAGGTACCTCCCCCACAAAGGGTTAAAATTTTGAATAATTACAACTCTTTTAAAATGTGATGTAAAAGTCCCAATTTCTTCAAATTTCACACATACCAATATTATTATTAACCCAAGGTCTGATATGAAGATGAAATATATCGGTCCACTCCCTCTGGTACCTCCCCCACAAAAGATCGAAATTTTCAAAAAAATATTTTCTGCACAGAAATAGAAACGATAATCCGATTTTTCTCTAACTTTGCAAATCCTAATATCTGCGTCAGTTTTAGGTCAGGTGCAAAAATAGATAATATTGGTCCACTCCATTAAGTGCCTCCCCCACAAAGGATAAAAATTATGAATAATTGTAACTCTTATAAACTGTGATGTAACAATCCGATTGTCTTAAAATTTCATACATCCCAATATTTTTACAAACCCAAGATCTGGTATTAAGATGGAATATATCGGTCTACTCATTCTGGCACCTCCCCCATAAAAGGGAGCTTATAAAACGCGAAATTAATACCCGATTCCATTTAGACTTGGCATATCTGAATATTTCTATCAACACAAGATCTGTTATAAAAACGGTAGAGATCAGAACATTTCTTCTGGTACCTTCCCCACAAAGGGTCAAAGTTTGGAATAAACAAAACTTTTATAAAATCCCAAATAAGCATCAGATTCTTTTTATATTTCACACATCCCATTATTTCCACTAACAAAAGATATGTTGTGAAAATGTTATATATCGGTCCACTCCTTCTGGTAGCTCCCCAACAAAGGCTGAAATTTTAGAATATCCATGAAACGCATAAAAAGCGAAATTAAAGACTTAGTATATCCCAATATTTCCATCAACACAAGATGAGAAAACATAGAAGGCTTTTTTGACAGGTTTAAGTCATGGCTTCTTCGTAAAAGAACAAAAGAATTTTAGGAAGTCTTAGTTCAATTTCGACCCGTTATTTATACTTTCTTCCGGTCAAAATAGCCTTCTATGTTTTCTCACCTTTGATGAATGATATCAACTATGGTCTGGAGGTTATTTTATGCGATTTGGGTTGGTAATACAATTGCAAGATTTGCCTATAATGTTCCTAAAAGGAGACATATTTCTGACTTTTTTAAGTAATTTTTATACTCTCCACCTTGGAAAGGAGGGTATATTAACTTTGTCATTCCGTTTGTAACATCCTTAAATATTCGTCGTAGACCCCATAAAGTGTATATATTCATAATCAGCATAAAATTCTAAGTCGATTTAACGAAGTCCGTCTGTCTGTCTGTCTGTCTGTTGAAATCACGATGCAGCCCACATTATTTGACGTAGAGCACCAACATTTAGCAGAGCAATTGGTATTGTGTCTAGGATGGTTGGTATTGAAAATGAGATATATCGGTCCACGTTCTGGTATAGTCCCCATATAACGGTACCTCCCGATATTCGGTATTTTGATGATTTATGCCACATTATTTAACGGATTTGTCTGAAAATTGGTATTTGTAGGTCATAACGGGTCCCTGTACGTGTGGCGAAACATTGTATGTATAGGTTCACGTTTTGGTATAGTCCCCATATAACGGTACCTCCCAATATTCGGTATTTTGATGATTTTTGACTGATTTTTTTCACGAATTTCACTGAAAATTTGGTAGTTGTAGATCATAATGGGTCCCAGTTCGTGTGGCGAGTCATTGTAATTATAGGTCCACGTTTTGGTATAGCCCCCATATAACGGTACCTCCCGAAATTCGCTAATTTGATTATTTTTGCCACATTTTTTTTACGTATTTGTCAGAAAATTGGTATTTGTAGGTCATAATGGGTTCTAGCTCCGTTGGCGAAACCTTGCATGTGTAGGTCCACGATTTGGTAGAGCCCCCATATAACGATACCTCCCGATATTCGGCATTTTAATGGTTTTTGCCACATTTCTTCTAATGTTTCCTTTACCCTCAGGTGGAGGGTATTAAAAGTTTGGCCCGGCCGAACTTAATGTTTTTTTACTTGTTTTTACTATATTTGTTTTCGAAAATAGTTCCCATTATGCATAGTTATCAAACATTCGATCAAATATAACGATTAACTTTCCCACTAACCTAGAAATCCTTAATAATTTATTCTTAGAATTTAGTAAAATGTGTTTAGCCGATCAAACTACGCAGCTCATCATTCCTATTTCCCCTATATAAAAGAATTAGTCCTTACATATTCCAAACTGATATATTTCAAAAAAATCATTCCCTTTCTACTTACGTTTAAAACCAATTCTTGCCACAAACGGATAGGTGCCCAGGCCACGATAGAAATGACCCTGGACCAATGATTTGCCGCACACTTGATTCTTCTCTAGCGGACTACTGGGACAACAGACATAGGGCATTTCTTCGCCACCGCCGCAGAACAGAGATTTATCGCCGTAATAACACATTTTGGCCACTTCATAAATCATGGCAGTACAATCGTGTAGGGGTGTACATTCCGTTCCCACAGAACATTCCGTATTTGCATCGTAGTAAGCTCTTGGCAGATACGAACGACCTTGTGGCGCAGCATTAGCTGTTGATGAGTCCTTTGGTTTTCCATAGGTTCCCGGCACTACCAACCTTGCTGGAAATAAAAATTATAAAATTATAATTAATGAAATAATATTATAAGAATAATCTATTTTTAACAAAAAAAAATGGTAATCTATTTAAACTTGAATTATAAAGAAATACGCCGTTTACGAAGTTAAAATACAAAATTGTTACCTGTTTGGTTGGAGAGGTGACGCAAATCACCTGGATTAAAATTTTACTTAGTTCTACAACAAAAGTTGACATGTTTTAAAAAGGACGTTCCTCAAAAGAGGCAGTGAATGCTCATAACGTGTTAGCTCATAAATTAATGGCTACGATAACACGAGGCTCTAGGTTGGGTGGAAATCAGCACAAGCAGAAATTGGGAACGAAAATACTATTTTCTTATTCGGGAGTAAGTAGCACAGAATGCTTAGGAGTGCGAAAAAAATGTATTACCTACCTTTGGAATCTGTGGAAAAGATGAATAGGATGATACTAGATGTCCTTTCGATGATAAGAGAAGCTGAATGGTGTGAAGGTGATCGGAAGATTCTCGACATGGCCAGAAGATATTGGCAAATTATCTCATGACTGTGAATGTGACTGGAATGTTGTTGTGGCCACTCTGAAGTATGAGCCGGAAGAAAAAGTTAGATTTCTAACTGAAAATTATGAAGCCCTGGAATATGAAATCCGTATCATGGCAGCACAATTGGCAGAATCACCTGTCCGATTCAAATTAATAGAAGATGGCCTGGAAGCAGCTAAATATACCAAATTGAGGCTGCAAGACTTGGTGCAGTCTGTGCTCGCTAAATAAAAAAACCTACAGACCATGTAAGAAGAATCCGAGAAGAAACGGCGTGGCCTGGAAACATTAGTCCAAGAATTGGAAGCCATGTTGGAGCAGCGGAATAGGAAATTAGAAGTAAAGGTCGCAAAAATCGATAGATAAAATACCGCATTTCTACAATTCACTGATTTTGAGCACTGTCGAATACGATACAGATAGATATACAGGGTGAGATGAAAAAAATACAACCAACTTCAGACTGCTGTGATTTCTAAGCCACTCGTTCGACAGATGTTAAAATTATTCCAGTGGAAGCTAATTATATTGTGTACAAGCGTACAAAAACATTTTGGTGAGAGTTTTCCAGAAAAGAAGTTATTCGTTACGGAATTCAAGATTTCTTTATATTTGGCTGGAAAATCAAGAGTGGTTATCGTTAGAGCTCTCCAGCATTTAAATGTGAATAAATCTTTTGTGTTTCGTACCATCGCTCGTCACAGTGATACTGGTAGCGTAGCCCGACGTCAAGGAAGTGGTCGCTCTCCGCTCGTATTAATCGACCGTGGCATCAGAATAAATGCCGAATATTATCGCGAAAATATTCTGGAGGGTGTATTAAAGCCTTGGGCAAGCAAACATTTTGGTCGCAAATCTTGGACCTTTCAAAAGGACTCAGCACCATCGCACGCGCCACCCAAGAATGGTTACAAAATGAGGTCCCTCGCTTCATTTCCAGCGCACAACAGGTTCCCACTTCCACATGTATATTTTAAGAATATTGGAATTCAAAATCCCAAACCCTTGCAACATATAGACAAAAATCCAAAAGAAAGGTACGGTATGGTAAGGTAAAAATATGTGGTGCAATGCAGACTCTGTGAAAAGAAGACGCCATGAAGCAATTGCTATTGCATCGCTCAAAACTTTTCATCAAGTGACTTGGTGTGATGGGAAAGCATAGAAACCAAACTCTTACCTCCATATCTATGTGGAATTAGAAATCATCTTTATATACTTGCAGTAATATCAGAAGACTTATGTACTGTCTAGTATATCCTAACATAGGAATTCTAAACATTCCCTGACACTCTGTACCTTTTTTCTGCAATATATGAACCTGTATAGAATCACATTCGAAGTCGATTTATGTATGTCCGTCCAACCGTCCTTCAGTCCATGTATTTTTGTAAACAAAGTACAGGTCGCATTTATTGCCCGATTCAGATGAAATTTTGCACAAATCATTTGTTTGACCCAAGGACGAACCCTATTGAAATTGGAGATAATCGGTCAAAATTTAGATATAGCTCCCATATATATTTTCGTTCGATTTGCCTATTTTGTGCCCCAAACGTGTAATATCAGCCCAAATAGTGTGGAATTTTGAACATACGACCAAATTAGGCCTTAAAATAAGTATGTCAAATTTTATATGAATCGGTTCAGATACAACTATTGCTTCCATATATATTGTTCATCCGATTTGTTATTTTTATCCTCCGCAGCCGTAATATATCAAAGTAATATCCGCAGCTGTAAATATATCGAGTAATATAAAAAAATCCAGCTCATAAAATACCTTTACTAAATTTTATGGAGATCGTGTCAGATTTGGAAATAGCTCCCATATATAACTTCGTCCGATTTGCCTTTTATTGTGCATCAAACGTGTAATATTAGCCCAATTGGGATGGAATTAGAATTGAGTCTAGAAGCTAGTATGTCAAATTTGGTGAAAATCGATTCAGATATAACTATAGCTCCCATATATACTGCTCATCCGACACAGCCGTAATATGCACTGCATAACAACGATATTCAGGGAAATATATCAAATACAGCTTCGAAATATCTTTGCCAAATTTTGTCGAGATCGGTTCAGATTTTGACATAGCTCCCATATATATCTTCATCCGATTTCAAGTTAATTGTCCCGAATCGAAAAGATACAAATGCTTTGGCATATTTAGTCCTTTGAACTTTAAATTATAATTAAAACAATGCTTGTATGATGTAATTCTGATTTAAATTAAATTAAAATTGCTTTGATTTAATTCAATTTTAGACTGTGCAATCTGGAGTGTGGAAAAGTGGTATTCGGTTTACAGATCAAAACCCCAAATAGTTTTGGATTCTCACTCCAACGAATGTGTAAACATCATTCATTAGTATGATATGGTATGACCATGGCACAAGCATAAAGCTACCTTCTAAATTCATTTTTATACCCTTCACCTTCGAAAGTAGATTTAACGATGTCCGTCTGTTGAAATCACGACACAGGTCACATTATTTGATGTAGAACTTTAAAATTTGATAGAAGTTTGCATTGTATCTATGTGGTTGGTGGTTGGTATTGAAAATAATAATATCAAAAAATAATATCGGTCCACGTTTTGGAAAGCCCCTCCGGGTATAGTACCTCCCAATATTTGGTATTTTGATAATTTTAGCTACATATTTCCACCAATTTGTCTAAAAATTGGCATTTGTGGTTCGCAATGGGTTCTAGCTCTGGGGCTGGATTCTTGTTCTATGAAAATATGAAATGAAAAATATTTCCTTTATAAAATTTTTCATTTGACATTTCTTTCCTTTATAAAAGTTTTCATTTCACATTTTCATAGAATAAGAATTGAGGCCCTGATGGCAGAACAATAAATGTCCACGTTTTCTAATAGATTTGTTTGAAATTTGTACTCATTATGGGTTCTGAGCGGCCAAAAAAAACTAGTTCTGACAACAATTTGACAATAAAAGTTGTGTTCCAGTACTTTTTTAGTAGTAAAACTAGCAGAAGAGAGAACAGTTCGAAATGTCATTCTCATTTAGGTTTGCTCAAAAAATAAGGGAACGGAAAATTAGCAGAAATGCGATAAAATGTCAAAATTCAAAATTCCAAAAGTAAACAGCCTAAATCGGACTGGTGAAACCTTACTGAAAAGAGCGCCAACATTTAAAAAATGAGTATTGTAGACGATAAGTTAAAATTAATAATCTATAATAATAATTAATAATCTGATTCCTCATTCAGCCAGTCCTCTTCACTGCTGGAATCATCCAAAAGTGAATACATCAGTTGCTCCATATTTTCTCTTTTTGTTTTTTTTTTTTTTTTTTGCACGACAAATATTAGTTTTTCCTTTAGTTTTCAAGTTGATCATTTTCTTTATTGAAATGTATCAATACATTTTTCAACCTTGTTAGCCCTGCCAATTAAATGTCAAATTTACAATATGCACATTTCTGCTCGGCCAAATTCATGTAGCTAAAACAAGCAGAAATGTGCACCACTCAGCGCCATTTTTTCTCGAGAGAGCTGCAAGTTTTGCTAGTTTTTGGAGTACGGGAACGCGTTGTAGCAGAATTAGTGCTAATTAGTACTAACTTGCAGGTTCTGGAACACAACTAAATTTAGTAGTTGTTGCACTATTTTGATTTGACTCTCTTCGAATTTCTAATAACAATATTTCTTTTGACAGCAAGCCATGATAGAATAACGAACGTAAAGTCATGTAATCATAGGTTTACAATTTTTACAAAATTATTCGTAAGACAGCATCTTATTGTCAAAATTTACATTTATAAATCCAATGTATATACACACATCACAGATGGGAACCTTTTTCTATGCACTAAAATTTGAAAGGAAAGGTAAATCACTGAAAATTCAGAGATAGATAAATGACTTTACCTTCTTAATTGAGCTTAAGTTGAGAATACATAAAATGCTGGCTTAAGTCAACGGTTGGCTTCTTTGTAGAGGAAATAAGGAGTCTTAAGGTTGACATAGTTCGATTTTGGCTCCACGCTTCGCCGGTCAAAAAAGCTTTTTATGTATTGTCACCTTTAAGGTGGGAATACATAAAGCGCTTATCTGGCTGGTTTAAGTCATTGGCTGGCTTCTTTGGAAATGAACAAAGGAGCTTAGGGCCAAAATCGAACTAACTCAACCTAAAACTCCTTTGTTCATCTATGAAGAAGCCAGCTGATGACTTAAGCCATTTAAATATGCGCTTTATGTATTTCCACCCTTACTGTTTTGCGGAACATCGTTATCTAAGATTCGACATAGCGTACACAAGTATTCAACTTCACTACTTTGGTAAAAAGTTTTGTACGTCCGTATTACCCAAATACGCCAGGTCCATATTTTATAATCTACTAAATAAAAACGTTGCAAAAAAGCTGTAAGTTCGGCCGGACCGAACTTTGAATACCCTCCACCATTTGGAACGAATTTGGCAATTTTC